AAAGAACTGGGTTGACTACCTTGTCATTCCCGTGGTTGCTCCCCTGTACGGCACCATCCCCAGCGCCCAGGCCCTGATCTGCCAGCTGTGGGCTCAAGACTTGGTCTACACTGTGAGCAAGAAGGCAACACGACGACAAATACCGATTGTGAGGGTGGACGAAATGGCCTAGACGGTGGGGTCAGCAGTCTCAACTAATAAGGAGGACTCGGATGCTGCATGGCGAGACTTGCGATGACCATGAGATGGACAACGATGGATGGCGCGACGACAGGGACACCTGTATCGCATGGCATAATGACTTGGTTATTTGCGTAAGTGAACTTGATAAAGGCATGATTAGGAGTTCAAGGTACAGATTAGGCATGTAGGCATTTCAGGGTGTTCGTATAGAGACTCTTGGGTTTTGAGTCGAGGGAGGTATCGATGGATTAATGAATGGTACTCCAACTTACTTATTACCCTAGGTACATAACTATTCTGATTAGGCATGTCTAGTGGCCATTGCTTTGACGATTGCTTGGTATGACAAGACTCGAGTACTAGTAGTATATAAAGTGTGTCTCATGAAGGTGGAGCATCGGAGGTTGCTCGAGGTGAGTGGAGCTTGTCGGCGCCGACTTGACATTCAAGTTCCGTAGTGCTTCGGATGTTAAAGCCAAGTCAGCCAATCACAGCAACGCCAAGAGACGGATTCAGCACTCGAAGAATTGAGACTTGCAACCACTTCAGCGTCTACATGCCGAGCTGATTCCAGGACGAAGCGGATCGGAGTATAAGATGTCAGGAGACGCGTCAGTAATTTGAATCAAGAAGCCCGAGTATATAATATAATAATATGGTTCTGTCTCGCTGTTGGAATTATCAACTCTCATTGTCCCATTACGACTTGTCAACTTGCGAGTAGATAAATCTGGAGAGAAATCAACGATAGCCATGGCATCCAAACAGCTACTAATCGGCGTCTTCATCCCTACAGGCGCACAGTTCCTCGACGTTGCGACTATCGACGTGCTCGCCTCCATGTCCAAGGAGTACCTTGGCGGGCTTCCCCACCTCCCGGCGCACATCGCCGAACTGGCACCAAGCACCAAGATCATCTACATCACATCGCCAGAGCTCTTCCCAGACGTGCCCTTAACAGCCGATCTTTCGATCCGGGCAACGCACACCTTTGAGGACGAGGCCGTGGCGCCAGGCAAGCTGGACATTGTCGTGGTGCCTGGGCCGGACCCGAGTGCCTCGTTTGATGATGGCGCGACCAAGTGGCTAAGAGATCAGTTTCATGCCAAGGATGTAGATGTCTTGAGTGTCTGTACGGGCGTGTTCCTCTGCGCCGCGGCGGGCATCTTGGACGGCAAGACTGTGAGTGGACCAAGAGGGTTGCAGAATGAGATGGTCAAGAGACATCCAAAGGTGAAGCTGGTGGGAGAAAAGTATCGATGGGTTCAAGACGGCAACATATGGTCAAGTGGTAAGTTTCAGTGAAGTCTGTCCATATCACGACGCTCGGCTAATGCAATCTCTCAGGCGGAGTGACCAACGGCAACGACCTCATGGCTGCGTACGCCCGTGCGAGCCCAAAGCACTGGCCTGGGCCCGTAGCCGAGATGGGCGCCATGTTGACCGACGTGGGTGATCGATCTCAGATCTATGGCGAGGGACAGAGCAGGTTCATGCTGGGAGTGGCTTGGCAGATTGTCAAGGCGTGGTTCATGAGCTTGGGGAAGGGTAAGGCGAAGGCGAGCTAGGCGAGGACAGGACAGTTTTTGATCGAGGAGGGTAACTTGGCACGTGTTAGTTAGTGAGTTTCTTTAATACCACTCTTGTATTTAAAACCCCGGGTTGTCAATTGATAGATAGAGATCACTGGATGAGTTGACTCCATCAGAAGCTCACCATGTCCATCTCCAGGCTTGAAAAGACCTCGGCGGCTCCGTGCATTCGTTACTTGACTCGACACCAGGCCACAATGGGCTGAGAAGTACGTACTCGGTTCGTAACTGACCGTCTTTTTGTTAGCTTCTGAATGTTCGTCCGTTCCATCTTTGGTGGAAACTTGCAGCGGGAAAATCTGCATTGCAGCGGAGACCATCTGGTTGCTGAGACAGCGACCGCCCCGTTACGATAAGGTCCTTATCGCAGCCTCTGATTGGCGCTTTCTGTTTTGCGCGGTGGGGTTGCCTGCTCGTCCCCAAAAAAAAATTTCGAGCTCTCTTCTAGCAGTTGCTTCTCGACTTCTTCTTCGTCCCGTCGTCGTGAACGAGAACCTCTTCTTCAACTTCCATCTCAACCAACCCTCTTCCCTCTCCTGCTTCTCTTCGAGGTTCATCCCTTCGTTCACGATTTCTTCATCCATCGTATTCATTTCATCAACGAACACCTAATATCCCACATTCAAGATGTCTGCTGTTCCTGGTCCCGTCTACGGCCTCGAGGTCCCTCCTGGAGAGATCTTGATTCCTGCCGCCATGGAATTCCCTGCCTCTGTGAGTCGCCGTCCTGCCTCTTACGACGCTGCTGGTTCGATGCGACGCAATGCGCTGGCTTGTTTCGGCTTGTCGCGACGCTTGCGACACCGTCGCTTCGCCCTTTGGAGCTCGACTTGCTAACCGTGAAAAATTGCAGTTCCGCATCACAATGGCTGCCGTGGATCCCACCCAGGAGCCCGAGGCCGATGCTGAGGGCAACGTTCCCTCCGTCCCTCGCTCCACCGTCCGACTCGTCAAGCGAGCCTTCCCCGGTCTTGATGATGAGGACGAGGACGACGAGGTTGATGACGAGTACCTGAGGGCCCTCCTCGCCGGAGAGGACGATGAGTCTGATTCCGACGAAGAGGCCAACGGTGGCCCCAGCGACCCCGCCAAGTCCAAGAAGCAGAAGCAGGCCGAAGCCATCAAGAAGCTCATCGAGTCCGCCCAGGCCGAGTCTGACGAGGACGAGGAGATGGAGGATGCCAAGCCCAAGAACAAGGGCAAGGGCAAGGCCGTCGAGGAGGACTCTGATGAGGACGATGAGGATGATGATAGCGACCTCGACAGCGAGGGTGCCGACCTTGAGAACTTTGTCATCTGCACTCTTGACACCGAGCGAGTAAGTCAATTGTGACCGGCGCTCTTCTGAACACAACCAGCTAACACCTACTCTCCAGAACTACCAGCAGCCCCTTGACATCACCGTTAACCACGGTGAGAAGGTCTTCTTTGTCGTCACCGGTACCCACACCGTTTACCTCACCGGTAACTACATCATGGACGACGATGATGATGAGGATTCCGAGGATGAGGACGACTACGACTACGACCCTGAGGAGCTCGACTACGAGCTTGGTGGTGAGGGCAGCGATGAGAGCGACGAGCTCGATGGCCTTGAGGACCCCCGCATCCAGGAGGTCGACACTGATGAGGAGGAGGCTCCTAAGCTGGTGCCCGTCAAGAAGGGCAAGAACAAGCGCTCCGCTGAGGAGGCCACCGAGGGTCTTGATGAGCTGATGGCCAAGGACGATGCCAAGCTCTCCAAGAAGCAGCAGAAGAAGCTCAAGAACAACAAGGGCGAGGCTGTTGCCGCTGAGGACAAGAAGGACGCCAAGAAGGTTCAGTTCGCCAAGAACCTCGAGCAGGGCCCTACCGGCTCAACTGAGAAGGCCAAGCAGGCCAAGGCCACCCCCAGCGTCAAGGTTGTCCAGGGCGTCACCGTCGACGACCGAACCATTGGCAACGGCCGCACTGTCAAGAACGGCGACACCGTCGGTGTCCGATACATTGGCAAGCTCCAGAACGGCAAGCAGTTTGATGGTGAGTGTCGATTCCATTCGTGATTAGGATATCTAGACTAACCCATTGATAGCCAACAAGAAGGGCAAGCCTTTCTCCTTCAAGGTCGGCAAGGGCCAGGTCATCAAGGGTTGGGACATTGGTGTCGTCGGCATGTCCATTGGCGGTGAGCGCCGCTTGACCATTCCCGCTCACCTTGCCTACGGTTCCCGAGGCCTTCCTGGCATCCCTGCCAACAGCACATTGACCTTTGACGTCAAGCTCCTCGAGATCAAGTGAGCGCGTGGATAGATGCCAAGGCAGAATCCAGCGTCCGCTCATCACGGGCCGTATGTACTAATACCCCTTCTGTGGCCCAGTGCCGAGTCTTGCGAGGAGTTGATGAGTACGGATTTGGCCGTGTTTCGTGGGACTCCCAAGTTCCCATCTACTGCTCGGTCAAGGTCATGTTTCATGCTATGATGAGGAGCCCTAGACCTTTGCCATCTGCGAAGAACCGGTGTTTGTATAGAAGAACACACGGGGAGCAGCATTGGCGGCAAGCAGGGATGATGGGGCGAGGACCTGCATCGCATGGAATTGGCGTATGGCAAGAAAAGGGATCATTTTGCGTTTGTTGCCCACAAGATGGTTAGGTAGTCTTGTGGTTTTCTAGTTAAAACGGATGGTTCGAGGGTTGGTTGTAAGGTTGTGCAAATACAGAATCTGATTTCTTTCTCTCTTACTCACTGGGACGTCAAGTCTTGATTGCAAATAAACATGTACTTTGTTCCTTCTCATCTTAGACCTTGCATCCAATGCTTTCGTTAGTGCTGTATGGCCTTGATCGCGCCTTTCCTCTAGGGTAGTGGTGGTCTGTACCTCGAGAAGGCACCACCCCACGACAGCTTAAACTCCCGTTGTCTAACACACTCAACCTTGTCCATCTACACACCATCAACTACCACAGTTTTGCACAATTAGCCGTGAACTCGCGGCCAGGTTTCGTCTCTCTCTTTGTTAGATAACCACCCCATCTTTCTTTTTCCAGCAGCCCAATAATTCTAGCATTCATCCAACACTGACTTTCAATATCAGCTACCCTGCAGCATCATGGGCCCAACTCTGGTCGAGAAAACAAGTCATCAACTACTACACTTTTCATCTGGTGAATCTGGGAACTCTCCTGGACCATCTCCTCTAGGTTCCGTCTAGAATGGGGAAGAGGATGGAGACGGAAAACATGTCATGGGCCTGCGCCGTACCGGCTCCAAAGTCTGGAAAGACATCCGTGGTGTCATTAGGGCAATTGGGAGGAGCAGTCGCAGCGGTAAGGAGATCCAGCACCTGCTACTTTGCGACATCATACTCACTTGTCCTACACAGGCCTCGAAGCTTCTGCAGACTCGCACATAGTCCCCGCGGACTCTACTAAAGCCTCTGTACTGACTATTCCACGCCACGCCGAAGAACCTCCCAAACGCACCCCCAAAGGCATAGGCGCCAAGGACCTCATTCGGAAACTTAGGCTCAATCCTGCGGCTTTGGACTCCAATTCGACTCTAGTACAGCGAAGCCCTTTGAAGAGGGCACGGAGCTCGCTTCTGGTCTTGCACAGCGCCCACTCGAGCGACCTGGACACTCCACGTTCGTCTGGAGCAAGTGACAAGATATCGGCTGCGGGTGTCGATTCAACAAGAAAGACGTCGGTCGACTCCCGTTCCTCACAATGGAATAAGGAAACTGCCATTAGACGACACAGACGAAACCCATGGACTCGATCAAGTCCAGAAGGCCGCGCTCTTAGCACCATCCCCGAAGCTGGTGTTGTACAAGCTCGGCCTACTATTGCAACTGTCGAGAGAGCGTCTGCTGCCAAAATATTCCTCGAAACATACTTCAATGAGCTTCTCTACAAGCCCGATACCCGTGCTCTAAGGCGGCAATGTCTGGAATCTCAGTTGTGCCACTGTCTCTACTTGACCCCTGACCAGAAAGAGGTGATTCGAGCTTCCAACGACTGCCAGGAGACGTGGCATTTGAGAGAGCTACGAGTGATGAAGTCCAAAGCTATCTCACATATTGGCAGGAAGGACGGTAACACGTCTCCCGACAACTACGAGCCCCTGCAGATTTTGGGCAAGGGAAGCTTTGGAGTCGTGAGATTGGTCCGTGAGAGGCCTGCTCCTGGGCATGCTTTCCCAGGGCAGGTCTATGCCATGAAAGTTATTCGGAAATCCGAAATGCTACGCAACAGCCAAGAAGGCCATCTGAGGGCCGAAAGAGACTTCTTGGTTGCTTCCGAGGGCTCACAATGGTTGGTGGTCTGAAAGCCCCTATTTGCAAGTGACTGGCTAACCTGTACCATGGCAGGGCTGTTCCATTGATAGCCAGTTTTCAAGATGCTGCGAATCTTTATCTGGTCATGGAATACATGCCAGGCGGTGACTTTCTGGGACTGCTCATACGCCAGAACATCCTTCGGGAGCATGTTGCGCAGTTCTACATTGCCGAGATGATCCTTGCTGTGGAGGAAGCTCATCGCCTCAACTTTATCCATCGAGATATCAAGCCCGACAACTTTCTGATATCTGCGTCTAGTCACCTGAAGATATCCGACTTTGGGCTTGCTTTCGATGACCACTGGTCCCATGATGCTGCGTACTACAACAGTCATCGATATTCTCTCGTCCGGAGACTGGGAATCAATATCAATGGAGACGAGGCTGATCAGAAGAGCAGCAAAGACATTCTGAAGCAGTTCGAATGGTATCAGTCTCTTGTATCAGGACTTGACAGACATGGAAAGTATCCCCTGGCGAAGGATGAGGACCTGCAGAGCCTCATCGGCTGGAGAAACCGACACGGCAACCGCACTGCGGCGAGGTCGGTTGTTGGGACGAGCCAATACATGGCCCCGGAGGTTGTTCTTGGCCAGCAGTACGACGGGAGATGTGACTAGTAGAGCATTGGCACCATCCTGTATGAATGCCTCTACGGGCAAACGCCTTTTTTGGCCGAGGAAGGGCGCAAGCAGACCAAACAAAACATTGTGGTGAGTACACCCAAACTTCGAGGAACTGGCACCTGAGCGAAACTGACAGAAAAGTAGGAATTCAAGAATCACTTCTCGTTTCCGCATCGGCCTGCGGTTAGCGAAAAATGTAAAGATCTGATCTGCCGCTTGATACAGGAGAAGGAGTACCGGCTTTGCTCGAGAAAGTATCAGATGAGATATCGCGCCCCGTTCGACGGCACTCGTTCTACAGAATATGTCGGACGTTATGTCTTTGCCAATGATGCAGAAGACATCAAGGCACACAGGTGGTTCAGGAATATCCCATGGGATCGATTGCAGTCAATGCCGCCCCCCTTCACTCCGCACCTACAGGGTGACGATGACGCTCACTACTTCGACGAGTCCGAGCCTTTCGAAGACTGGTCCGAGTCAATGCCCTCGGGCGTTTTCCTAAACTCGGAGGACGTGAGAACCCTGCTCTGTGGGTTCGAGACTCATGTTCAAGAGAAGGCAATGGAACTTGTCAAGACACCTTTTGACGCAGCCAAACTTCGAGGCATCGACCGCGATCTCGATGCCTCCAAAGAACTACAACCCAACGAAAAGCTTGCGCTGAAGCAGTTTGTGAGATTCTATGGCCACAAGGAGCGTAGACGGCCACGGGACATGCTTCTCCGAGACAAGGATACCAGAAAGACAGTCATGAAGATTCGGAGAGAGACGGCCTTCATAGGGTACACCTGGCGAAGGATGAGGCCTGGGGGATATATCGCTCTGAGACCGACGGATTCAGGAAACGAGTTGGAACATTGATAGATAAGACCTCTTCTGGTGACGTAGGAGAAGAGTCGGTCCCAGGCAGGGACCAGAGCGAGAATCGGACTTGGATAATCATTATTGGTATTATTATCATTAGAAATTATTAAGCAAGCTTTGCTTTAGTAGTAGTATACACCGTGTTTTATCCTAACATCTTTGCGTTCATGAATCCTGAACCGTAAAGTCATTAACTGGGTAATAATAATTCGATCAAAACATCGTTCCGTCATTGAGATGATTTAGGTCTTCGTCCAGGGCTATTCTGAGTCTCGGCCTCTGTCAAGGCGACGAGATCACCAGCTGCCACGGCCTTGGCGTTGCGAATCTCCCATTCAAACTCCTTGAGGGCCCTGATCTCCCAGGAGAAGAAGAGGAGGGAGAGCAGTCCGTCGACCACGCCAGCAGCCAAGCCTAAACTGCTGATGAGCATGAGGATGAAGGCGACATAGTTTTCGGGGCTGAACCAGACAGCCACCAAGCAGGCGAGCCAGACGAGAAGGGCCGCAAAAAAGTGAACACCGCGCCAGTAACGCTGACGAATCTCACGGGCATGATACGACTGAATCATGGCCAAGACGTCGTCATAACCAGACATGGGGAGTGACTCGTGATCCGGGAACCGGCCGTGATGGAGCTGGTCGTCGGGGTCGGGAGATCGACTGGCATCTGCAGAATGAGTGCTGCTGGCCGGGCTACTGGGAGCTAGGTATGCACCAGTCTGGAGCGCAGCCGAGGGAGTTTCGACACGAGGTCCAATTGGCCTTGAGATTGGCGAAGGGGTGTGCCGGGTAAGGGTCGCCTGAACAGCAAAATGATCCGAGAGCGAGCAATTGAGCTCAGGATGACGCTCAGTCATGGAGACAATGGCAGACTTGATGATCCATCCTGGAGTCGTGGCTGGAGCATCAGGTTCAACGCCCGTAGAGGTGAATATGTAGTCGAGGCGCTTGCCACGGGGGTCGATAGCATCGGGCGACACATCGTAAGATTGACCTGATCTCAAACGGTTCTGCTGGTTCTTGGTCCACCGCCAGGTGTTGTAGACGGAATCACTAGTTGCGCCATTCTCGAGGAGGTTGAAGTCGGCAGTGGGAATTGGGCGGCGGCGAGCCTTCTCGGCGGGGTGGCTAGCAGGACCGAGTGCACTATCAGGGTGGAGGACGCGCCAGACGTCGCGGACAGGGGCGTGGGAGGTGATGAGGCGGTGGGCGAGAGATAGGGGGAGCATGTTGAAGTCGCCCATAGCGACAACAAGATGACCGCGCTCAGCGGCGCCACGAAGGAGCTTGGAGAGTTCCCATGCCTGGGCGGTACGGTGGCAGATGTATGTGCTCTTGGGTTCAGGCTCGTAAGGGGCATGGGTCTGCGCGAGGGACAGAGTCAGCTACTGATGGAGTATTTGGAGGGGTTTAACAAGGCTGCAGAGACCAAAGCCAGAGACGTCAAAGTCAGTACAATAATAAACTTACATGTGTGTTGAATACCTCAATAACGTCCTTTCTTCGGGGTCCATAGCGAATCTTGGCACATGCGACACCTTTACCGACATACCAGTCTCCTCTCCAAAAGGCAGTCGGGCGGCCGTTGAGGGGATACTTGAACATGGTACTCTCCTCGATAGGCCAGCGACTGAGGATGGCTAGACCGCCACCAAAGGCGCCGCTGTGGTAGAACTTGCCATAGGGGAGAATCTGGCGCGTGTGTCGGCGGATCGCCTGGTAATCCTCCTGAGTCCAACACTCTTGCAGAGCTACGATATGAGGTGCGGGGGCGAGAATGGCGAGCTGGCGACCGATCTCGTCGAGACGAGGTGCGCGGAGGGTCGAGATGTGAAGAAGACCCCAGCAGTTGAGAGTCAGGAGGTTGAGTTCGGTCGGGAGGCCATGAGGATCCTCATCAGGGATGACGGTCGCGGTAGGCGTCGTGACATGTTCGGTGGTGTCGCTCGAGATGACCATGACGATAGTGGGATGTAGGCGAGATATTATGAAGACTTGTATTACTTGGAGGAGGGGAATAAAAAAGGAAAAAGAATAGCAAGACTCGCAATGATGCGACGACGCGGTCGAGGATAGGGAAAGTGGGAGGACGGTGCGCGCCTCGGCTCGGCTGATGATGGACCGGCAGGATATTAGTTAATTACGATGCTGAGCCAGACACCGTCAAATGGTCGATCTCATCCGTCACTAGCGGCAGGCGCTAACAAGCGTTGAAAGGAGATGACGATAAGCTGAGACAAGAAAGGAAAGATAAAAAAGGGAGTGAACTGTTCGATGTGATTGTGTGGGGGAAGTCTGAAGCAAGAAAAAGAAAAACACAATTGATGATAATTTACTCTTGCATCACCCCCTGCGACTTCCCTTCTTTCCCTGCCGGTACTTGTTGTTTCGTACCATTCCTTCCAGTTCATCTCAGGTACGGCGACCGGTGTGGGGCCAATGTAAGTGGGGCCGACCATGCCGAGAGTGGCTCGACCAGCTCCGGGGGGTGATTCTTCTAGTAATATCGAAGCCGTTCTCGTTCTTGGCAGCTGTGCCGTAAAGTACTCTCATCTCGTAGGGCTATATTTGCCTTGATATTAATGAGCTGAATGAAACCACCGACTGATGAAACAGCACAGCACAGCTACATATACATTATCCCGGACCTTTGTAACATCATAGTTCATCCACTGAGTGCCCCCTCACACGCCCAAAGTAACATCCCATTGAAGCTCACCCATGAACCAAACAGAGCTCTCCCATCCAAGCTGTTTAGCTGAGCCACACCTTTCTGTGAGAGCGGGGAACAAAGGCTTCCACACACACCCCTTGCTAGAAAAATCTCCGGCTTTCAACACACTTCGCCATGCCACCATACAAAACAAGGTCCTTCCCCCTCACCGAGCTTGACACACCACCACCCATCCAAGCATCACTTAGCTCGGGCATCATCGGCTCTCCCCTCATCCCGGAAGTTCGGGAACATTCTCGTAGAATCGTATTTGGAAGTCGACCACGTGAAACTCTCTCGTAGTCTCATGAGGGCACACACTGTGGCAGCTCATTTTACTTCATTACACGTCTCCCCGTAAATATATACAGCTTCGTGGTGCCTCGATGAAACATCCGGAACAGATGCCTTTGTGCTTCCCCAGTTGTTCAGCCTACGTTGCTTGATCGGCGTGTCACGTCATCTTATACGACTTGTCATCCATATCGAACCCCCCCCCAGCATCAGCTCCAAGCCTTACAACACCATCTACAGCTGCTTACTAGGTTCTATCGGTTGACCCACCATCGCAAACCCATCATGGCTACCGTCTTCGAGTCGTTCCTAATCAAGTTCAAGCCCATCTTCGTAACTTCCCCTGACTCACCTCCCGCCGCCTTCTCCTCCGTCGCCGACCAGCTCAAGGCTGTCCCGGGCGTCGAGTCCGTCCATCTCGGCCACCCGCTTGAGAAGCCGGACCACTGGGTCCTTGGTGTGCGCTGGGCTTCACGCTCCGCCCACGACGCCTTCATCTCGAGCTCCGCCGCAACGGAGTGGAACGCCTCGCTGCGCGCCCTGCTGGCAGAGCATCCCATCGTCAGCCCTGCCGCCGAGTACACGGGTGATGTCGGGGCTGCACTTGCTGCTCCCATCACTGAGTTCTGCACGTGCTGGGGCGCAGACGAGAGTTTCACCGAGAACAATATGAAGCCTTTCGCCGAGGCTTGCGACGCCGGGGGCCTAGCCGGCTTTCATGGCCTGGCTTATGGCCAGTTTGTCCAGGCCGAGCACGAGAACCCATCTGTGATTCCTGGCCTTGCTTCGAGATTGCTGCTAGGTTGGGATAGCAAGGAGGCCCATCTGCAGCACAAGAATGTTGGAAGTGGTAAGGAACAACGTGCGTTCTGCTGAGTGGCACTGCTAATCTTGATTCAGTCATTGACGACAACGTATTCTACCTTCTTGCTCGGAACAAGAGTCTGGAGATGGTGAGACCTCTGCTTTCGCGTCCACATCATGAACAGAACTGACACGTACCATCTAGTACCATGTTCCCCTTCATGTAATCTAGTTCTCGAGAAACATGCTCGAGTAGGCTTGAGTGGCATCGCTCTGTTTTGATACCATGTGTGATTCGGATTATATCAACCGCAAAAACAAAACCAGTAAGATGAGACCAACCTGGAATACATCACCAAAGGCCTTTTGCATCAGTGAAATTAAAAGAGTTACTCAAGTCAATGCGCCGTAAAAAGCAGATACCTCGGGAGCTGTCAGTTGTTACAGAGATGCTCCCGGCTCCCGCTCCCCTACCAAACATCCCGGTCTTGCTTATTTGTTCGTCCCGATGAAATGTGAACCCATCCTTTGACACCATTTCTATGCCATTCCACCCGCCCTAGACCGTCCTGCTGTTGCTGCTGCTGCGTTGAAGCTTGGACTCAAGCACAATGCTATGCTCGCCGCCGTGCGTATCGATCGTCGTCCGTACGTCGTCCGTTGCGGGTATTCGATCTGGCCTTTCCGTACTCGAACCCGCTCCAAACCAACTCCCCAGCTCAGAATGTGAAAACATGCTTCATCCCCCTTTTAACATCTTTGCTCCCTCAGATATACCGAAATCATTGTCGTCCCCAGTCGCTCCGTAGTGGAATGTCTGTCGCATTCGCGTAATGAAGGGTTAGATGCGGTGTTTCTCGGATTCTGTAAGGTCGCATGTTAGAAGCTTAGTTGTTGCCAGTTCTGTTTTGAACCTCACCGAGTCGAGAGTAGAGCATGTAAAGAGCCATGCGGTTGCACTCTTCTGTTCCAGTGATTGTCACGAGTCGCTCATTGCTATTGTCCTGCGGTTCGTTAATCTTGATCACGCTGTTGCTCATCTGCCGAATCTCGTTGATCTTTTGTCCACCCTTGCCGATGATAGCGCCAACCATGTCATTGGGAATGTAGATCTGCTGAGTGATAGGGCCGCCGGGGATGGCGGCACCCATGGGCTGAGCCTGAGGAGCGCCGCCGTGAGCCTGAGGGCCCGCGTGCGGAGGCATATGAGGCTGAACATGAGGGGCAGCTCCGTAGGCACCTCCTCCTTGCGCACCACCATAGTGCATAGGCATGGCTGGGTTGGCCTGGGCCGCGGCGTGAGGATACTGCTGAGGATAGGGCGCAGGAGGCATGTGGTGCGAGCGACGGTCGTTGTGGCGGGCATAGTTCTCGCCTCGTCCGTAGTGGCCCGAGGCCGGCTGAGGGCAGTATGGCACAACCTGCATACCCCCAGGAATGGAACCAGCAGGGGCACCACTTCGGGTCGCATATGCGGACGCAGCAGGGCCGCCGAATCTGTCGTTGAGCTGCTCTAGAAGGGTGCTACCCACGTAGTAAGTCGCGATGTGAACAGCGTCAGCAACGCCCATCACCACCAGAGATCGCTCGCTCGACATGGGGAGGCAAGCATCTGACGCGTTCAAGCGGGCACCAGAGGCCTCCTGAATCTCGCGGATACGAGCACCGCCCTTACCGATGATGGAACCGATCAGGATGTGCGGAATCAGCAGGCGCAGAGGATACGTCTTGGAGGACGAGGTTGATGATTCGTTCAGCGGCTCGTTGTTAAGGGTTCGAATGATGAGACCGAATGCCTTGCATCATGTTAGTCAAAGCTTGCGATGGAAACATGGAGGATAATCCTACCTTAGCTACAGCGTCCACTATTCCGCTGACAGTGAGGATTCGCTCGACAGCGCCCTTCTGATAGTCGCTGACGGTACACCTGGCGTTGGAGAGCTTCCTGATGTTGGAAACGTTCTCGCCTCCCTTTCCAATCACGGTAGCTGCCTCCGGGCTAGAGATGACAGCACGGATATGGATCCAGGTTGTCTCATCGAGTGCGGTGGCCGAGCTGACGGCGTTGGACGAAGCGGCGACGGCAGTAGCGGCAGCCGTCTTGGCCTCGGCACCTTGATCCACAGCACCATCGTCATCTGGCTCGGATTTGGCAGTACCATTCACCTTGTCGTCGGCGTGGCGGTCCTCAGCGGCGATGTCGGCGGGAGCTTCAGGGACCTCGGCGTCATCGTCGTGCTTGATCTTGTCGAGAGCGGGTCGCTTGGCATCAGGTTGGTCGCCAGCGCGCGAAGGCGACGAGGCCTCCTCCAGAGGGCGCTTGGCCGATTGGGTGGGTTGAGATGGCGAGGCAGACATTCTTGCTTGGATGTAAACGATAATTCACAGACGTACTCTTCCCAGGTACAGTCGAAAGTACGAAACTTTGTTTATTGCTGATCTTGCTTGTCTTATATACACTCAGGGGTTTTCGAAGGAAAACGTGCTGGTGTAGTGACTTCGATTGGGATGGCGACTCGGTGAAGTATTCGTGAAGTGACTGGTGTCGCGCTGGAACAGAGCGGGCTGGATGGAAGGAGAAGGGATTCGAGAAGTCGGGCTCAGGTCAGGGCGCGTTCCAGAACTCTTTCAGCGGGCGTCGAATTGGAATTGGGGGGCCCGGGAAGATCTCCTAGACGGTGGGCGGGAAGGATAGATAGATGATGGTTTGTGATTGATTGAAATGTTGAGTGGTTGTGAGGAGGAGGTGAAGCGATCGATGCTGGGACGGACTTCTGAAAAGCAGAAAGGAAGAGGCACAGTGCTCAGCTCAAACCTATTGACCGCGTGCTCGATCGGGTTGTCGCAGCGCCTCGATGGGATTGGATATCGCGTCGCGAACCGTGGAGAGTAATGCGAACGAGGATGGGAGCGCAAAGAGATGGGTAGCGTCGTTGGATCGATGACTCTCCTCTGTTTGCCTGTGTCGCAAGGGATCGAAACGAAGGCGCCAAGCCAAGGCTGGGGAGGAGCGATGACCAGTCCAAGGGAGGAAAAAAGGGACAAGAAAAGAACAAGGGGCGCTCAGAGACGATTACTGATAATCGCTCAAGAGGCAGAAGATGAGAAACCTCACGAGGTTGAATGGAAAAAGGGAATGGGGGGAGGGAAAAGAGATGACACGAGGGTCGAGCGATCGATGGATGGGGTTGGGGCGAGAGGAGAGTTTGGGAGAAGGCGGGAGAAGCAGCAGCTGAAACCAAATCGTTCTCTGTCGAATCCTAGGACGAGGATGCGCTGGCCTGGGGTCACGTGCGGCTCCGCTGGTGAGAGAGCTTGGGCCCCTAGCAAGCCACGGCAGAGGCACAGTGCGGAGAGGTGGTAGGGGTTGTGTTGGTGAATTTGGTGTTATTTCTGCAAAAGAATTAGACATGATAAATTGGACTTGTTTATTATATGTATTTGGTTTGTAGATTTCCTCTAACTATCTCCTTCTCTCGTTATTCTGACCAAGATTGATCAAGTTTGCAAAAGCCAAGCATTGTCCCATCTCCACAGCCTGGCTACACCACCGCGGCGCCCTAAATTCCGGGGAGACAGGAAGGCTGCCGTGATTTTCAGAGCCACAGAGACCGTCGTTTCAAGCTTGCATTTGCTGATGAGCAAAGTAAGCAGCATTGGACAATGGCGTGACACGAGAGGGAACCCCGAATTAACAAACATTCTTGCGATTGATGGGATTTCAAACCTAAAGGCTGTGCTTGCTTGCTTCGTATCAGCTCCATTGCGTTGTCTCGTGGTTTCTGCATCGGTTGGTTGCTTGTCTGGCCATTGACTGTGCAGCGCACGGTACTTTCACTGCAAAACCACACCACGCGTTCGCAGAAAAACATAAGACATAGAGTTAATGATATCTATTTTCTAAGGCAAATAAAAGTCCCTAAATATAATAAATAAAATACTTAAAGACTTAGTATATTTTTTCACACTCTTATCTCTTATTTAGCTCATAATTAGATTATTAATTAAATACTTTTTATTAATTTAACTAAGCGTAACCGTCCGTCCTCGTGTTTTAAGCTTTTATACGACCGCGTGCACACCTCACCCACTGCGCTGCGACTTTGCGACGCGCGCAAAAACGAGTATCACATAAACACACGCCCGGGCACCATCCATCCAATCTGCCTTCTCCGAGCGGTGTGTCCCCCAAGGCAAACAACCAAAGAAGAGGCTTCACATTGGTCCACTTGACTTTTCAAAGAGCCCTTCACGTGAAGCAGCCTTGATACCATCCCGCCCGCGCATTCCCATCTGCCGGACTCCCAACTCGCATGATTTGAGGCGCATCCTCCTTCGGCCCGCGAAATTCTCGGCCACATTGTTCTGGACCGTCGTGTTGCAGCGTCTGCTTTACTAGAGTGTAAAAATAGCTCTGGTGGAGCTACCTATCCCTCCTTCACACTCCAGAAAGCATGGATGAGAGATCGCAACGCACCGAGGCCCAGGCGTATACGGCCAGTCTCGATCAGACACTCAGAGAGCTTCAACAAAAAGTTCATGAGCACGAGAATGACTTGGAAAGGGTATGATACTCCTATTTCCTGCTGCCCTCATCAAATCTGACCGACAAATAGCTCCGTTCAGGCCAGGATGTGCTGCCTCAGTCGGTAGCCGGCCAGGCGCGGGTCATCCAGACGGCCCTCAAGGAGGTGACGGATTCCGACCCCTTTCTGCCTTCTCCAGGATCTCTCCTCCCGGCGTTGTTAGCTCTGCGCAAGACTCATCAGACCATCCAAGAAAGCGATGCGTATCTTGCCTCGCAACGCGCTAGCCACGAGCAGCTGTCGCGTCAGCTCGAAGCTGATCAAGCGCGTCTCAAGGACCAAAACCTGCTCGGTGAAGCCCTGAGCGCAAGAATCCAATCTCTACGGGATGAGCTGGACGCCAATACCAATGTCACCCCACAAGAAGGCGCGAGGGAGCGCCTACAGGAGCTCCGAAGCAAGAAGAAGACCTATGACAGGGAGACATCGAAGCTCATGAAAGTGCTCCTCAAGTTTATCGACAACCAGCTGGCTCCTATGCTCGCGGCAGAAGAGCTGGGCGGCCCAGTCGTTGGTGATCTCATGGATATTGACAACGACGATCTGGCCGCGGGCTTCAACGCGCAGGGAAAGCTCAAGAAAGCCAAGGAAGGAACCGGCCAGGACGATAAGCGGCAGCGCAGGATAGACGAGATCTGGGGCCAAGCCGGCGACGAGGCTGGGGGACGCCGCCAGGACGAGGTCACAGGGGCGGCCGCCGAGATGAGGCAGCTGACCGAGGAGCTCCTCAACACGCTCGCCGAGGCCAACGGCGACAACTCTGCGTCATATGTTCGGTTGCCGCGCGAGTCGGCGGCAGCGCGGTTCCTGGTGAGGTCCAAGGTTGCTCAGTTTCACCCTCGGGATGCGACGAGACTTAGACTGGTTGACTTTGGACGAGATTTGGAGGCTTGAGAACCTTGCATGTTCACCTTGGGTATATCGCAGAACATAGCTTCCAGTACAATATTTGCATCAATCCGAATACCCGATCATATATACTGCCATAACTACACATGATTCTGTTTCATCCCATCTATCACTTCCATGATGCTGGTTGCCAGAGAAGCAACCACTTTAACCCCCCTAGCCCTCTCATTGGCCAATTGATCCAACGCGTGGTCCGCGTCGCGTCTCCCTCCCAACCAAGATCGTCCGTAGTCAAGCTCCCCCTGTCACTCTCAACCTCTAGACATTCAATTCCCCCCTTCTACAAACTCACAACCTTTTTTCCCCTTTGACAATCATGACTGCCGACGCTACCAACGCTACCATCTCCTCCCCTCCCGCCAAACGAGTAAAGACTGCCGCCACAATGGAAGCCCCTCCTGCCCTGCAGATCAAGAAGCTCTCGGACAAGGGCCGACTGCCTACTCGTGGTAGTGCCTTTGCTGCTGGCTACGACATCTACGCTGCGCGCGACACGACGATTCCTGCCCGGGGAAAGGCTCTTGTCGATACCGACATTAGCATGGCTGTGCCCGCTGGCACCTGTGAGTAACTCCATCTACAGAGTGCAGTTCGATGTGGATTGCTAACCATATTCAATCCAACAGACGGCCGCATTGCTCCCCGATCTGGTCTCGCCTCCAAGCACTTCATCGACACGGGCGCTGGCGTCATCGACGCCGACTACAGAGGCCAGGTCAAGGTCCTTCTTTTCAACCATGGCGAGTCCGACTTTGAGATCAAGGAGGGCGACCGCATCGCCCAGCTCGTCCTCGAGCGCATCTACACCCCCGAGGTTGTCGAGGTCCAGGAGCTCGAGGAGAGCGTCCGAGGCGCTGGCGGCTTTGGAAGCACCGGTTAGAGAAAAGATACTAGGACCTTTGTTACTGGTTCTTATGATATAATGAAAAGTCAAGGGATATTACGGCACTAGACTTGGCTGGTAGGGGATATGGATGAGGATACCACGGGGATATTCACAGATAGACTCAAAGAGAAACAACAAGTATGCGCTCTTTAAAACACGTCTATTCCTCTTGTTCTATATCCAAGTTCTATATCCCAGCCCTTTCTATATCGCCTTGGCACGGTATTCTGTCGAAGGCGAGCGTAAGCAGTCTAGATTCCTTACAAGCTGTAGCTCGGCTGCTTTGCTCTTAACCAGATGAACCTTTGTGTCGTTGGCGCGGTCCTGAGGTCTCATCTCGGTAAGGGTGCGATCGACGACGCCGCGCATGCCCTCGCACGTCTTGGATAGCACCTCGTGCATGCTAGCTAGGACCTTCTCGGCGGCGCGGGCGAGAGGTAGGTCGACAGCCGAGACCGAGTCATCGCTGAGCCAGCTGGCTGTGTTACGGAGGCTGCCGTTGGCGTTGTAGACGGCCTCACGCATGCGGATCACCATGAGTGCGCCAAACATGTCACCGGTGCCGCTAAAGTAGCAGTCAATGGACGGAAAGACAATCTTGAAGAACCGGGCCTTTCCAGTCGACGTCATGCTTGAGCCCACCACCGACAGGTGTGATGGCGGGTGGTCGGGGGCTTCAAGGTTGACTGAGGTGATGACGATGTGGGGGACCCGGTACTTGTCATGCATGGCCTGGATGGCCTTGTGCAGGCTATCCATGTCGTGGATCTTGCACTCTGAGAGGAGTCTGGGAGATTTGTTAGCTCAGGACTTGAGCCGAGTAAAGAGTCCTTACTCTGCCTCGAACTGATTCGGTAGGATGAGATCGGCGTCGTGGAGGAGCTTCTTATAAGCGGGGACGACCTCCTCCGAGACGTAGAGCCTACCGTTGTCGCCCATGACGGGGTCGAGCACCCAGAAGAACTTGCCCGGGGTCT